AACCCGCTCCGTGACGGAGTGATACATAACCTGGGTTGATGCCAGAACATTATGCTCCGGTTAACAACCCTACCTATCAGATACTATGATAAGTGTCCAATAGGTACCCGATATGTCAGATTTTGACCAGTGTGAATTTAAATATATAATCATATAGATGATTTACAAAAATATAAATTAATTAATTAATTATTAAATTTTTTTTGATATATATTATTTTAAAATTATTAATAAATGGAATTAAGATATTACAAAAATATTTATTATCAATTTTGAATAATTTGAATATAAATTTTTTAAAGTTTGATTAGCTAAAGAAATAATTAAAATAATAAAAGTTTTCTTTCATTCATTTTGATCACGTGATATTTAACACTATATATTAACCAATAAAAACAAACTTGCCCTATGCTTGTAAAATGTGACTCCACATGATTCCGATGGATCTCGTTTAATCAAAATAAACTTTTGATAATCAAGAAATCATTTTCAATAACAATAAAATACAGTACGTGGTAAATATTCAAATTATGCTTCTTTATTTTTTTTTATTATAATAGAAGAACATTACATTTGTGCACGTGCGTTACAAAGAAATTATAATTATTATATAAACAATGTGGTATACAAATATTTGGTTAAAAATTTTCATAAAATAAATAATTAAAAAAAAAAAGAATATAATATATTCACGTATTAAATAATTATTAAAGTTTTTAAAGAATTATTATTTACGTAACCATTGTCGTCTAAACAACGGATGATGTTGTTCTTTCTTATCTTTTTTCTTTTGTGCTGTTCTATTATTATTATTAAAATGATTTCCTCTGTTACCACTATTATTGCTGCTACTTCTACTTCCTTCATAATAAGCCATATGATCACCACCTGATAAACTTTTCATATTACCCATTGTACGTCTAACTTTTTGATTAAAGTTTCGACTTGTAACCGTACCCGGTAAATCTTCGGGGTTAGGTTCAATGTCATCTAAATCTGCTACATTATCATTGGCTAATAACACTTCAGTTAATAAAGACATTTGTTCATTATGTTCTCGATACGCTAAATTTGTATCTTTATCCATGCCTTCAAGTGAGGTAATCACTTTAAAGGCATATCCTTGATCTATTAAAAATTGTTGTCGTTTAGTTGAATAATACATTTCTTGAGTATCAGTAGATACCAGAGAGTAGAAAAATGCATTAAATCCTTCATCGTTACGGCGTTTAGCTCTAAGAATACGTCCTATAATTAAAAACGAACGAACGAACAAACGAACAGTTAAAATAATTAAAATAAACAAACAATTAAAATAAATAAAAAATTATTACCAAGTCTTTGAGCTTCTTGACGTCTTGAACCATAATGCGAAGAAATTTGAATGAGACAAGTCGCCTCTGGTAAATCTATTGATGTATCACCAACCTAAAAATACATTAATACAATAAGTTAAATTTAAACCATATAACAAAAGACATACAAAATATACAAAATATACAAAATATTTAAAATTTCAAAAAATTTTCTACTTTGGAAAGGAAAATTGTGTTGACTTTAGGATCATGTTGAAATTTTTGAAGTATAAACACTCTTTCGGGAGGCTTCGTTTTACCATGAATGAATGGTACTTTAAGTTTTTTAGCATATTTCTAAAAAAAATATATATATATATATCTAGATAAATAAAAAAATAAACAATGAATAAAATAAAATAAATAAAATAAAATAAAATAAAAATTACCTCTAAAGCAAACACATTATCAGAAAATACAATAACTTTATCTCCTCGATCTTCATGATATCTAATTAAGAATTCACAAGCCTGAAATTTATTTGGATTCATTGCGTACAATAACATACGTTTTCTAGAAGAAGCTTTAAGATATTCAGCATAAAATTCGGATGTCATAGGACACCAAACTTCAGCACATTGAACATTCGCTATATGTCCTTTGGAGGCCAAATCCATCCAATTAGCTTCATATAATTTAGGTCCAATTAAAAAATTTAAATCTTCAATTTTATCATCTTCACGAACCAAAGTTGCAGTTAAACCAAGTTTAGTGTGAGCAGCTATTGTAGTTACTACTCTTCGAAACATATTTGCTGGTACAACGTGAACTTCATCTAAAAGAATAAAACCCCATTCTCGTCCTGTAATAAATTCCATCATTTTTGTTGCCTCGTATGATCTACTACGAGTATTAGCAACCATACTATATGTTGAAATTACAATACCAGAATGACCATTAAACTTTATATATGAAAAATGTATATAAAAATATGTTTTAAATATGTATAAAATATTAGCTTCCGTGATTTTTATTATCATTGAAAAATATAGATGATATATATAGATATATATATGAGATCTTACCTTTTCTTTTTGATCAGATGTAAAAACTGCAATTTGACTTTCTTTTATATTGGACCACTGTAAAAATTGTTGCTTCCATTGCATTACCGAAACACTATTAAATATAATTATTAATATTGATTTTAACGCATATTTTAATAGAACAAACAAATTTCCATACTAACGCTGATGTACAAAGGACAAGGCAACTTTTTTTAATTGTGCAAGCAGCAGTTATTCCAACAAGTGTTTTACCAGCACCACATGGTAATACTATAATACCTGACCTAGCTCGACTATTATAAAATACATATAAAATTATATAAAATTTTTAAAAAAAAGATATATAAATATTTTTATGATAAAATTTCAGAAATTATTTACCCATTTCCAAACATTTTACTAAGACATTTTTCTTGGTATGGTCGGATCACAGTTATAGGTTTTAAGTCAATATCAAGAGGTGGTAAATTTGAATCATTTCGAAAATCATATTCTTCTAACATTGGATAATTTAGTTCATTACAACGCCTCCTGACAATCTAGTTTATATATATATATATATATACACACACACAGATATACAACAGATAAATATAAATATGTATATAAGAAATATTCTTTAAGTATAATGGATAATGCCAAAATCTTTTAATAAATCAAATACCTCAAATTTCTCTGACAAAATTTCAAATGAATGAACTTCATCTTCTTCATCTTCTTCATCCTCTATTAAAATTATTAGTATTATTTTTTTAAATTATTCACATAAAATATAACAAGAGGTGTGATACAAAAATATAATAAAGAAGAAATAAAATAATAATATTATTAAATAATACCTTTATCAATAACTACTACAGCATATAATTCATCTTCTTGAACACTTGTTTCTGGATTTTTTTGTTCAATCTCTTTTTTAATACCAGAAATTCCCAAATCTTTACTAGATAAAGTCACATTAGATAAAATTCCATTATGATCAGTTTCATCTGTATTTAATATTCGTGCTTCAGAAATTTCTTTATCTTGTAAAAGCATTTGTAATACATCTGCATGTGATGATTCCACAAAATATCTATTCTGTTTTAATATTAGCTTGACTTTTCCATAAGAAATTGTACACTTTCTAATCATTTCTATGAGTGATTCCGGTATTTCCGTCTATTAAATACAATAAATACAATAAACGAAATATAATTTAATTTATAAATTTCAAGAAATAATAAATAAATGTTTCTTTACAACTCACCTTTGATAAAATTTTCAAAACCTCTATAATAGCTTCTGTTTCCAAACCCACTGATACTGCAGCATATAAAGAGTATGGTGTCATTTTATATTCGTGTATTAAACTTGGTCTGTTGCGAAAACACAAAAAAAATATAGATATATGTATATAATTTTGTGTCTCAATTTATTCATATAAAAATTAATTCTTAATTAAAAAAAAAAAATGGAATAAAAACTTGTCATTTATTTACCTACTAACAGGTTCACTAATTGTAATTAAAAAATCTTGAGCCTTTTCGGCAAAAGGTGAAAATCCTTCAAGAATTATGTGGCCGCTGGCAGGATTAATCCATAAAGGTCTATTTGCATGATCTTTCTTTAAATTTACATATGAAAAATCATTTTTTCCAAATAGATCTGATACGGAATCACGTTTATGATATTGAATTGTAGAAGCTTTCGCAAGTTCTTTATCTAAACCAAGACTTGCAATCTTTGGAATAACTACGGTTGGTATTTTATAATAGATACTTCATGTATATAAATAAATTTCAAAAAAATATATATTTATTTATTTATTGAAACATGATATTTTAAACATACTTGGTACATCTTTTGATCCAGCTGCTTTATCTTTATTTACATCATCCTTTTCAGAAATATAATCATTATCAATTTTTGATATTTTTCTACCTCTTTTAACATTCTTTTGGGGTGTATATTCATCTATTTTTTTTTATATTAAATTTATTCTTTTTTATTATTTTTATTATTTTTTTTATTGATTTATAAATTTCTTTCTTTATTCTTTGAACAGAAAACTTGAACAAATAAAATCAAAAATTCTTTTTTACCGTCTTGTCGACGTCGTTTTATTGAAGACATGGTAAAAATATAGTGAAATACAAAAATATCAGATATATATATAAATGTTTGTACCCAAAACGAGCCAAAAGAGGACGATCGGGCCGTTTTTATTGGTGCGAGAAAATCTTTCTTATTTTTGGCCTGAACAATCTACAATGAAATATACCAATTACAATGACAGTTCTTTTTTTGTACAGTCGATCGATCTTTAAATGACGTGTAGACACTAATAAATAAAAGGATTATTGATTTATAGACAAAAAACGCGATAACTGATAAAATTCTCAAAAACTTCTTTATGCCCTTCGTTTAATCTTTTGTGATACCGGTAATTGTTTGGTGGTTCAACATAAAACTGAACGAATAACAGATTAATAAAACAATTTAAATTTTATTTTGTTTGCAATTTTTATTATTTGGTTGCGAACAAGAATTTAAAAAGAAAAACAAGAAACAAAGAATTTCATTAAAAGATTTATATAAATTAATAATTGAATTTAATATTTTCTTGACTTAAAAATTTGTAATTTCAATAAGAAAAAAAGAAACATTTATCATATTTTAGGATTTATAATAATATATTCGATCTACAGTGCGTCGCCTTAATATTTATGTCATTCAATCCAGATAACTAAAGCTCCAGCATATTTTGTTTATACTTCATAATTTTATATAATAAAAATTTGAATGAAAGATTAAATGTAGCAATTTCTTATCAAAATAATTATGGCATGTGATTCAGATTTTTCACTTGAGATATTTATAAATTACTAATTTAAAAAGGTCACTATCCTAAATTTCAGCACAAGTGATAGCCTTTGTATGGAAAAATATTATATTATTGTGAAATAAAAATATATATAGAAAAATTTTATCAACCTTATATATAGTATTTTCAACGTACTTATTTAATTGATAAGAAATAAATGTGAAAAAAATTTTAGATAGTGAGCTTCGAGGTGATCACAAGATTCAAACCATATGAAATAAATAACAAATGAAAGAATATTATTCCAAAATTGGACGTTTATTCTATCGAAATCAATTTCTTATATACTGTAAATGTGTCGTGAACGTACAATAAAAATAAGGATAACGAAAGTGGATAATATTTATTATCTTTAAGAAATTAATTTCGAAACACAGTCTTGTATTTTTAATAATGAAATACACTATCTTCCTCTCTTACCATTTTCACAATTTTCTGCTTAGTTGCTAATGTATATGAAGGTAATTAAATTTTTTTTTTTTAAAAAAAAAAAAAGTTCAACGACATTTATAGGTCACGATACCAATATCTACTATTTCTATTTTATGTTTTAATTTAATCAACGATTAAACTCAAATCTACTTTCTGGTCGAGTGCACAAGGGAAAGTGTGGATATATAATTGTGACACTTATAAAGATGTAGTGGATCTAGATAATTTAGATTTTTATTAGAAACTCAAATTGTTCTACAGAAAGGTCAGTTTTAATTCCTTTTTTACACAACTTTTGGTTGGATGAAAATAAAAGATATTCTTAATCCTTCTTTGTTACTTACCATTTTAAGTATATATGCGGATTTAAAATTGTTGTATAAAAATATATGCATCGAATTGTAAATTAAATGAATATCACAAACATCAACTAAAAAAGATAATTGATGGCTGAATAACAAAATGACTGAAAATTTATGACGCTTCGCTTCAGATAAATTTTATTGTTGGACGACAAGCAAATAGAAATAAATAATGCAAAAAAATTTAGATATCTAAAACCTCGATTTATATTCCTATCCTAACGCCCATTGTCTTTGAACCTAATGTACATTTATTGATGCGATCCTAAAATATTCACCCTTCCGGAAAAATAATTAATGCATTGATAATTTGTTACACATCCTCCCTTTGCGATGTTTTTGTTTAGGACGGATGCGGTCTTATGCACATTTATAATTTCTGATCCCGAACTGGACGAAGGAATAATCTTTGAGTTAGAAGTATAAGAGTCAGAATTATTACTGGTGGAATAATGTTTGTTTCTTTTTATTGCGGAATAATGTGCTTTTGCCTCTTTTCGAAGATGCCTCTCTAATTCACCCATTAATCTAGATTATATCTTTTCTGCGTTTTGTTTTACTCTTCTAATTTTTCTTTATCAGAGCATCTACTTGGAATGGGAGGTGGAGGAGTAAAAATCTGATTTATAGCATGGTTCTTTGGTTCTTTAACTCTGGCTTCTGGTTCTATCACAGATTTTTGATTGACGTAACCATAACCTAATATAAGATCGGCTTTAGGATTTTCACAAAATCATTATTAACATCATCATCAGATAACATAGCTCACTCCTTAAACTGAAAAGATAATTCAAGGCATTCCACAATACTTACAGCATCCTTTATACATTTTTTAATATATTTTGGTGGGTCGTTATATTTATTTTTAGTTTATCAACTAAGCTTTTTACTAAATTCATTCTTCATCCGATGATGTACCTTAACCAGATACCTTCTTCACCTGCATTTTACATATGTCATTTTAAGATATAGTTTATTATTCACTATATCTTTTAGTCAGAAAAAAAAATAAATAATAATTATTTGTTTATTCTTTATCCGTCTCAAGGTCTATCCCATAATGAAATTTCTCAAATAAGATTATTAAATTCATTAGTTTATTCTGAATTGTTGAACTTGATGCGGATCTAATATAATTATTGAATATAGAAATAAAATCTGTTTTATTTATCTCGTTTAATCTACCAGTAAAAATTGGAAGAAGCAAATCCTCTGGGTTCTGTTCATCACTATCTGGATTAGAATTAGAAGTATCAGTTTCAGAAACTATTGATTTAGAATTGGTCCATTTATTTTCGGAATTACTGATTTCACTTTTATTAATTAAGTTATTCTCCATATTTTTTTTAGAAAATCTGATTAAATTATATCATCATTCTTATCTATTCCAATTAATTTGGGATATAATATTTCATAGAAGATATATAATAAACGAGGTAATATCTCTATTTTATCTTCTCTCTTATCATATTTTCCTTTGTTTTCCAGAGTAATCTTCTACATATTTGATGACCATATTCATTGATTTGTTCTTCACATCTCATTAGCAATGTACTTCCTAAAACCAAGTCATATTCAGGTTTATCAATTATTAAGAAATATATATAAGTTTCATTTAAATAATAAGGTAAGGATTCTAATTTCCTAACTCAAAAATATTTGATAAAAAGACTAAAATTTTTTCATCATGGAGTTAGCCTCTTACCATTACTTTCTTATCAGCATTTGTTACTCCTTTGCCAAGTATTTTCATTGCAAAATATTCAGATCCATACATCCTAGTTATATAGTAATTCAATTGTTTAGCAAGTTACTTACTAATACTATTATATTGAGATTTAGGATCAATTAATGTTTTAATAGTAATGTTATTATCAATGAACTTATAATCTACTACTAATCTTTTATGAATTTCTTGAATAATTTCAACTTCCTATATATTATTTATACTGGAACAAATTTTCAGGTCTTGAATCAAAAGATTTCTTATAATAAGTAATATCAATTCTGGAATAAGTAATTTAAGAAAATCAAAAATTTTATATGGAATATACTGTAGCAAAACCAAACAAAGTGAACATTGGTATTACAAATAATTTCAGGAATCAAAAATTTTTAACATTACAATTGTATTACAACTGTGATATAATGGATATTTGTTTTTATCTCTTATACAGAACTACCTCTATATAAAAATAATAATATGAAACTAATTTACATTAAGTCTACCATGGAATTCAAAAATTACAGTACTATTAGAAGTATTTTGAAAGAAAAACAAGGTGATATAATTGTCTCTTATGTTTCTAAAGTAAATAATACTCAGACACTTATCTAAGGAAAAAAAATATTACTTATGAAATTTATCAAAAAATAAAAATAATAAACATTAAAAAAAGAAAGTACTATGAAAGTGTATTATTACTTAAAATCTTTAGAAAGAAAATAATCTTATTACAATATTGATTTATTTTTTCCTTTTAATCCTTTTAATGATATAAATTATATATGCTATTATAATTTCAAATATATAAATTGAATTTGGGACAACCTATCAAAATCTCAAATGTAAATTGTTTTTCTGTTTAACCAATTAGTATTTAAGAATTTGTGAGAGTGATTAGCAGTTCCTTTATTATTTTGAATATTTATTGAAAACTGATCTATATTTGAAATGTACAAATTGATTTGAGATTTTTAATTTGAACAGTATTTATAATATAAATTTTAGTATAATGGAAATTTATAATATATATGTTATATATGTTATCAAAAGTAAAAAGCCTTTGACTTGATTTCAATTTTTCCAATTTTTAATCATATCTAACTCATCAATTTACTATATAAAATAAAAATTTTGTTTGACTCAACTTCAATTTTTAATTGCATCTGACTCACTTCAATAATTTTGATAACATATATAATATGTGTTTAATTAATTAATTATTCATGTCTTAATTAATATTTTTGGTTTTACAATAAAATTTAAATTTGTCATGAAAATCTCTAGATTATCTTATTACTTTTTAGATATTCTAATCACTTAGTTTTTAAATATAATTAAATTTTCTTTACTCAGATTCTAATCTAAATCTTAACTGTTAAACAGTTTTCCTAAAAGTAAATAAATATATTAAGCATCTCCATTAGATAAAGTAATATTTAATTAATTAAAGTAGAAGTTTGTTATGAATAAATTTTAAGATAATTATTATTATTTTTTTACTAAGATATTTAAGAGAGTTAGAATTGTAAAAATTTTTTTTTATTTATTATTACTAGAAAATGGTAACTGTTATTTATCTAAAACAAAAATTATTATATTATAATAATATCTAAATAAGTTATATTTTTCATATAATCAAGGATTTCAATAATATTATTAAATATTTATAATGAATATTATAACTTTGAGATAGATATTGTCACATCAACTTGTGAACATGAGTCTGAAGAATAACAAATATTCTCAAACAAATATCTTAAACTACTTAAATAATTTACTACAATTTTACAAAGATCACTAAAATCAACTTGACTTAAACTATTTATCAAAGACTTTTAAAAGAATATTACAGGTAAGTTCTTATTATGAAGGGATTTTAGTACATCACACAGGTCAAATACAAAAGATATGTCATATTGAAAAGGAATTCTGATTTTAGCTAATTTATAATATAAAATACAATAGGATAGTTGATTATTATTAATTTTTAGTTGATCTATAGTATAGGAATTACTATTTGGTATAGTAATTCTTTTATATTTTATTATAAAGAGTGGGACTAAACCTATTTTGAAATTTTCAAACCTTTCAGAATTTCATCTCGATTTTAAAACTTTTGTCTAAAGCTACTAAACTATTCTAAACCTTCTAAATTATTCTAAACCTCCTAAACTATCCTAAACTTTCTAAACTATCTTAAATCTCTTAAATTGTTTTAAATCTTCTAAATTATTCTAAACTATACATGTTCCCAAAATTGATTTTGAATTTTTGAGGTATTTCAACTTTTTGAGATTTATGCAAAATCTATTCTATATATGGAAGTAAAAAAAATATCCAGTTATATGTATCTTTAATCAAAGAATAAATCTGGGTAGTCAAAAAATTTCAGGTTTTAAGTAAAATAATTTCGTCTTCTATGAAAAACTATTTCGACTTTTTTCCCCGAAATTGCAATTTCGGGACCCCAAAATAATTTTACGTGCAAGTATATTCTAAATCTTCTAAATTATCTTAAACTTCTTAAACTATTTTAAATTTTTTTTTAAATTGTTTTAAATCTTTTAAATTATTTTAAATTTTCTAAGTTTTTTTAAATTATTTTAAATTAAAATTATATATATATTTCATTAGTAATTATATTAATTCAAAAATCTTCAAAATTATATCATAACGTTCACAGGTCAAAATTCAAATATCTGATATCTATCGGCCCCTCCTCCCGATATTTTCAAATATCAGAGGAAATTATTGGACATATGAAATATATCAGAAATCTGATATCTGTATTTTTTTTAAAAGCCCAATAGCACTTTTGTAAATTTTATAATGCACCCAATAGCTATACAATAAATTTTGTTTTAATCTCAAGTACCTAATATTTTATTAATATCAAATATATAATAATAAATAGTAATATCAGGAACATGATATTTTTTAGATTTCTTTAGATGTCTGATATTATAGTAATATCGTGAATCCAATATTTTTAAAGTATATATTGAGAACTAATATTTTTCCCTTATCAGGTACATAAGAAAATTTTTTATTTTAAATTTTATATAATCTATCAGATTCCTGATACTATATTTTAATTAAACCTAATTCGTCTTTATGTAGTATATACTTAAAATTCAAGTTTTCTACTTGAAGTTATCTTTATTATAATAAAAAAAAAAAATTAAATTAAATATTAAATCTTCTATTCAATGGAATTATTAATATATAATTATTCCTATTCTCAACCTAATAGTCTATCTTAATGACTCTACTATATATTCTATGTACTGCAATAATTGAATCTTGACCTTCTTCATAATATTCTTCTTTCCATAATTCTGTATTCAATATTTCAGATATCATAAACTTATACTTAAATCGTATATTAGAGGAAGGTATATTTTTATACTATTTGACGTATGTTAGAAGATTTGTTTGGATCCCTTCATTGGAAGTGTAAGTGTATGCTCAAAGTAATATTATATTTCTCCAAGATAAATATCACTTGTCCTATCTCTAAATATATTCTACTTTACTAAAATCACTGTATTATTTTTATGTCGACTTGTGACTTTAGATTCAAATATTTTATTACCTATTCTTAATCTTATATGTTGGTTCATAGTCACTTCCATACATACTTTCATATCTTTTCTTTCTTTGTTATATAATATTGCATACCATTCACATAATATTTTATAGAGTTCCAATGGAATATTTATCTTTTTATATGAAGGTACTAGTATTTATCCTGATATATTTTCAGTACCATAGATCTTATTGAACATATCATGTCTCAAGGAGATAAAATACTGTAACTCTTCTCTATCAAATTCATTAGTTACAGCTAAGCTGTCAGCAGTTTTCTTTGATACAAGAAATTGAAGAGACTTCTTCAAAAGATCAGATATCTATTAACAGGAAAGATAATAATTCACAAGTGAATTTTTAAGAACTATTTTCATAAGTTTGAATTCAATCTACTGATTACTATTGGGATAAAAACCTATGAAAGATTTGTGTTAAAATTTTATTTACTATAATTCATATACCCAATATCTATAACTTATCTATATATCTATTTAATTACTTATATAGAAATAGCTAAAAGCTATAAATGGAGCCATAATCCTGTATGCATTCAAGTATATGCATCGATAAATGGATATTACTTGTAATGAATTCAAGTCCATAGGTTCTTTCTATATTTATAAACATTTTCTTTAATCGTTCTTGTACTTCTTGCAAATTGTCTTCTATAACAAATCTAGTAACCAATAAATTACATACCTGAACAAAATATCCTAAAATTTTTCTATTATTATTATCTAACATGTTCCATAGAATTGTTGTTATATATATCATAATGAAGGTTTTCCATTAATCAGCAGTAAAGCTCTCCACAAGTCTTAAGGGCTTGCAAGCCCATCAAGTCCAACTGAGTCCAATCAAGTCAAGCTTAGAATTATAGGCTTGTAATTTGCGAGCCTAGGGCTCACAAGCTCGAACCTAACTAAGGCTTGGCTTAACTAGGCTTAACTGAACTTGTTGAGCTCTCGAGCTTAATGTATAGGCTTGCAAGCTTATTTATAGGACTTATGAACCTATATATA